GTTCTTTAACACAGGTAGTAATTATATGCCACAATCTGACACTGACATAACTCCATTTCTCTCTCACATAATTGCAGGAATGCAAACTCTCTATAATTACTGTGGTTAATTAGAAAATGAGGAGACGCAACTAATGAGGACAGGTGATAAAAACAACTGTGAACATTTCTTTCAAATTTCCCTTTAGCATAAAATTCACTCAGCTTAAGCTCTAGTGAACCACAGAAGTTTTTTATAAATGTCACCGGCACAGGTCTAAATGAATATTTTACCACAGCGGTTCGTGTTTTCAGAAGACTTAGAATAAGAACAACATCTTCTCTATAAATGTAAACTTAATTCATGTCTTTGGAAAGGTAAATTATGTGGATTTCAAAAAATATTTTAAATATGCAACATTCTCTTCAAGAGGAATCTTATCTGGAAAAAAAAAAAAGGAAGCCAAAGTAAAAACAGAAAAATCATAGAGTTATTCTAGGGGCAAAGGTTTCAGGAGTATGGACTCTTGCCCTCCTCACTCCACAGAATCCCCTGGACAGGAAGGGAAGGGAATATAAGTCATTTCAAACCACAAGCGTCTTCCAAGAAGGGTGGGGTGTGTGAAAGAAAACCCCTGGCCCTGCAGATCTTGGCCTGTGGAGAAGCAGATAGGCGTTGAGGCTAAGCCGTGTTTGGGAATAGGGGCCGTGAAGATGAGTCACTCTACCCAACAGATTAATAAAAACAGAGGGTGAACTAGAAAAGAAAGGAAGGAGCAGCAGGATGGTGGCAAGTGGCCAGTACAGTCAGCAAAGGTAGTCTTGCTGAGTTAGGTTGCCTCATTACAATCATATAAGGTCAGCCCCCGTTTTCATACAGCTTGTTCCTTTCACAAAGGCACAGTGAGGCAAGACGTTTGTGAGGACCACAGCAAGGGCCTGCAGGTGTATAGTCTGGGTGGACGTGGCACCCAATGGAAAGGAACATCCTGTGTGGGACTGAAATCGAGCAGGACCCTGTGGGGCTCCTGGGCACGGAAGCCTTTCCGTGTCCCCCATTTCTTGTTTGTAGGGAATAGTTTCCAGCCTCCATGCCCTTCCCTGAGATCCAAAGGGCGGATTCCAACAGTTGCTAATCAGGGAAGGGAGGGGATGCAGAGACACGGGCTGAGCCACCAAGAAACAATAGTGCAGCCTTGGAACAGGGTCCTGGTTCCACCTCAAGGGATACACGACATAACAATATCTTTAAGCTCTTCTGCAGATCTAAAACCTCCACCAACTGGAAGATGTCCCAGAGAGGTCACAGTTTGATAACCTCGAGAAACTCATCAGGACTACCTGAGGCCACATTAAAGGAACCAGAGAAGTTCATCAGGAGGCCAGATTAAAGGAGTGCAGGCCCTGCACACACTCTGATCCCTATCAGCAACTCTGCCCTTGAAGCTTTGCTATAAAACTCCGTATCAGGGACTTCCCTGGTGGCACAGTGGTTAAGAATTCACCTGCCAATGCACGGTACATGGGTTCGAGCCCTGGTCCGGGAATATCCCACATGCCGCGGAGCAACGAAGCCCGTGCGCCGCAACTACTGAGCCTGCGAGCCACAACTACTGAGCCCACGTGCCTAGAGCCTGTGCTTCGCAACAAGAGAAGCCACCGCAATGGAAGCCCGCGCACTGCAATGAAGAGTGGCCCCTGCTCACCACAACTAGAGAAAGCCCATGCACAGCAACGAAGACCCAACGCAGCCAACAATAAATAAATAAATATAAATTTATATAAAATAACTCCTTACCAAATCTCCCCAGGTTGGGACACAGAGTTTTGAGAGGGGACACACAAACCCACTGTGGCCCCCCCTTTGCCTAGCAAAGCAGTAAAGCTGCTCTTTTCTATGTCACCCAGAACCCTTGTTTCGAAGAGCTCGTTCGGCACTGGTGCAGAAAGGCTGAGTTTTTGGCATCAGGACTAAGAGGTGATCCCTAAACTGAATTAATTCAATTGTTAGGACGATTCAAGGTGCTAGTAAATGTGGAGTGCTAAGAACAGTGTCTTGTGATGAATTGGGAGATTGGGACTGACATATGTACACTAATATGTATGAAATGGATAACTAATAAGAACCTGCTGTATAAAAAAATAAAGTTCTAAAATTCAAAAAAAAGTATTATAATAAGGAAAATTAAATTTTTAAAAGAAAAAAAAAGAACAGTGTCTTGCACACACTACAGCTGATATGTACTTGTTAAAATAAACAAGTAAATTAACTCTGCAATACAGCTGACCTGGGCCAGCACAGGAACCAAAAGTCACTGGAGGAAGTAGCAGAGGAGGTAACTGCATCCTCCCCGAGCTGTAAGGCCAGATTCACTCATTATGCTGACCAGAGGCCCAAGATTATAATCTCATTAATGCGAAATACTAAGTGTATTTTCATCTTTGAATCCCCTACTTATTAATTCTTTATTAAATAGAAGCATGATTTAAAAGAGTACACATAACAAACAAACAAAAGAAGAGTACACACAAAAGTCTATGAAACCAAACAGAAAAAAATAGCTACTAAGACTATACAAATACACTGTGATATTATATTATATATACTGTCTTTTATGTATAATATTTTTTAAATCTCAAAATAAGAAAGAGATTAATGCATAGACTTTAGCTTCCTGGAATCTGATCTTGCTGGAATATAAATGAATGGATAGATAGTGTGCCTTTTGCAAACATGTATTCATTGAAAATTTTCTGAGTTTTCAAAGGATATAGCATTATTTTTATTTTGACCACAGCATCACTGTGATACTTTCTAACCCTCTTATTTGTCTCTAGCTCTGAAGGAATTCTCATAGTCTTAGGCGTCCTGGTTGGCTAACCTTGCCCTAAACCTATCCCTGACACTGCCCAACCCACTGGTAATGCTCGTAGTATACAAATCAGAAAGCGGATTTTTGTGCAAACTTATCTCCACTAGTAAGCAAAGGACTCAGGAAAGTTTTGTATACAGTTAAGTAGGTCACAAGCAATATTTCTGCATACAAAGGACAGTAAGTAGACCCTATATCTCTACCTTCAAAATATATCCACAAACTGACCATCTTTACCCCTTCTGCTGGAGCCACCCTGGCCTAGGCCACCATTAGCCGTCACCAGGCTTACTGCAGTGGTCTCCTAACTGGCCTCCCACTTTCACTTTTGCCCCGTAGCATCTTCCCTCAACACAGCAGCCGGAGTAGCTTGTTAAAACGTAAATTAGATGATGATCCTCTACTGCTCCAAACATTTGTATCAGTCGGCATCCAATCAGGAAACCAGGAACCACTCTAGATATCTCAAAGAGAGAGGCTACGGATTATAAGGAATTGATGACAAAGAGGAGTAACTGCAGGAAGCCACTGCCACCCTCAGGCTGGAGGAACAGAGGGAATATGGTGTGACATGGAACCTGCAATCAGAGCCACTGAAGGGACCATGGCTGGAAGGAGCTGCCTGAGCCAGAGTCCCCAGCTGCCGTTGCTGCTAGGGCAGCTGCCACATGGGAAAGGCTGCCAGGACCCTCAGCTGGAAAAACAAGAAAGGCTCTTCCTTCCTCCCTTCTTCCAGTCCTGCCAGCACCTCCCAGGGCGGAACTTAAGAGGACGCCAGCGGGCAAGGGACTCTGGGAAGTGTAGTTTGCAGGTCCCCTGCCCCAGCAGTTAAGAGGAGGGAGCTAAAGGAGAGGGTGAGGGGTTTCAGAAAACAGCTCCCATCCAGGGCAGCACCTCTCTCACGGTAAGACCCAAGTTCTTACCACGGTTTCACAAGAAGGCACCGCCTGGTCCCGACACACGCACAGGCAGGTCCTGACCTCCTCTTGTCATCTTGTTCACTGTGCTCCAGCCACGCTGGCTTCGCTGCTCTTCAAACACACCACGCTCTCCTTCCTGTGCTGTTTCCTCTGCCTGGAATAGTCCTACCCCAGATAACTTCGCAACTCCTTCATCCCCTTTAAGCCTTTATTTAAAGGGCACCTTCTCAAGGCCACTTCCCTGAAAACTAATTTAAAAATGCAACCCCTCCCGATCCTCACCAATGTTTTCTTTTTCTTTTTTTTAAATTATTTTTATTTATTTATTTATTGCGGTACGCGGGCCTCTCACTGTTGTGGCCTCTCCCGTTGCGGAGCACAGGCTCCGGACGCGCAGGCTCAGCGGCCATGGCTCACGGGCCCAGCCGCTCCGCGGCATGTGGGATCTTCCTGGACCGGGGCACAAACCCGTGTCCCCTGCGTCGGCAGGCGGACTCTCAACCCCTGCGCCACCAGGGAAGCCCCAATGTTTTATTTTTCATCAAACATTTATCCTTCTGTAACACACTATACATTATATACATATGTATATAGTTTAATCAGAAAAGTATCTTTTTATTCTGTATTACATATTTTTAGTTGTCTCTAAATACATATATTTTGGTTGTCAATATCACCGCACCAAAATGTAAGCTCCATAGGGACCAGGACTGTGTCCATTTTGTCTAGTGATGCATCCCCAGTATTCAATAAATACTTAACTGAATAAATAAATGTAATCATTAGTAGATGTATTTATTATGAAATGAAAAGTATTAAATGCTCTTAAGAGCTTGGGGTAAGGAAAAGAAACCAACAGAGTTCACACCTCTTCCTCTGGGAAGCCACTCTAACCCCACTCAGGCTACATTAGGGGTCCCTTCTATGTGCTCCAAATGCTCCCTGGAATTCCCCTTTCCCAGAACTTGTCACACTATATTGTAATTATCTGTTTATATATCTGTCTCCTCCATTGAAACTCTAAGTCCCATAAGATACCAAAGAGTGGTGCACCTCTGGGAAACACTGCACATCAAGCACCTGGTAATACCATCCTGCATGTCCAACAAACAGTATCTGTGGTCAAATGTTCCTGTCAAAAAGCAGAAGAATACACTTAAAGGTCTTAGGATCTCTTGACATCATTCCTTCCTCTGATATTCTGGAAAGACAGAAGAGCCAATAGCTGTAAGAAAACATAAACAGAGTCAGGAAATAGTTAAGTACAGAAGCAAAGAAAGTTGGTGAGCGATAGTGCCATTGTTTTGGCTGAAAGAGAACAGGCAAAATTATCTTGGTCTTGAAAAATAGTTTAATATTTTTATTAGAAGTATGTATATTGTCTGAAGATCACTCCACTGTTGAATTATATTAACAGCTGAATATTAGAGAATAACAAACAAATCTTGAAAAAAATTAAGTTATGAAAATCAAAATAATTACCATAGAAAAGCAATGCGTATAAATAGATAACAGATTTTACAGCGTTATTCTCAAGGGGGAAGGGGAATGGCTGTTAGAGCTGCAAAAGTTCATTTAACAAACGTATTTTTCTAATTTTACAACCAACTCGAAGAGGAAAAATTATCCTTAGTACGCATGTTCATAGACAGTAGAAACATCATTGCTAAACATCAGCCTTGGTTAGTTTGTTTTTAGAAGTTTCCAGTAGATAACTATAAAATACCCACAGCCTTCTATGAAGAGATCATGGCTACATCTTAGCCTTAAAATAAATGCATTCTTTTGGTAGTAATTTGGGGGCTGGAAGAAGTCGTTATCACACACACCCATATACTTAAGCACCAAATTTATCATAAATAGCTTTGACTTGGCTTATAACCTCGGTAGTGTAGAGGCGCACAGAAATGTCTCATCTCATCTTGTCCTAAGAAGTAGCATTGCTCATTGCCTGCATGCATATTACCCAAGCACATCACACAGGAGAGACTCAGGACTTTGAAAAAAAAGGGGCTCCTCAGCTTGCCTCTCTTCAGCAAGAAGCAAACACATCTTGTTTTGTTTTCAGCGGCCTGCTAGTGCATTCAACATTGGGCCTCCCTTTCCTCCTCTGCTTGATTAAAAATGCAATTTGACCAATAACTGTGTGAAATGCATTATAAGCAACAAGAATGCAGTTCATCAGAAACCTGCCTTTTTTTATTCCTTTCTCTCTGCAGAATTTTTCAAATAACTCCCAACCGGGAAATGACTTCAGCCTGCTGCCTGAATTGTACATTTATTTGTTCACTTGTGCAAGGAGAAACCTGAGCTAAGTCAAGTGAGATACATGCACACAGTCCTGGAAGGATCACTTGAGAACCAGTTTCAAAGCAGATTCTAATTCAAAAATGCCTCTGCCACTTAGACCCACATGGAGCCTCACGAAATATCATCGAGTAACTCAGTTGTGCCAGTGGAGGAAGTGATGGCAGCCACGGTGGCTTCCTTGCTGGGAGAGGGAGGAGAAGGTGGAGGAAGGGCAGTTGATTACAAACAGCTTTAGGGAGGATGCGATAAAAGCGGACATACAAAGCCACGGGCTATTGATTGCAAATCTGGCAAGGCTGCAGGCCATTCTCATTGCAGGCAGGGCACCGCAGGGCCCGATAGGACTCCTTAAATCTGTTGGCCAGCATCGAGAACTTGCTGCCGTGGCACAGAGAGCAGGTGGCACTGCCCGATCCTCGGCAGTGAAAACAGTTGTCCTCGGGAAGTTCCCCTTCCTGCAAGAGACAGGTCAGGGTTAAGTTACAGCAGCAGTTCAAATCCATTGCTCACACACAGGTCAAAATAGCACTGGGAGCCTGCAGAGGCTGGGGCAGAGTTAGAGGAAAATGCGTCCCACACGTGCCAACGAGGGACCTGGCCAGAGGCACAGAATAAGCTCAGCACTTTATCGGAGATTTCCCTGATGGACCTCTCTAAGACAGCAACTCCTGCCACCAGGCCGTGCACTCCACAACTTGACCTTTTTCATCTCTCTTGTCACCATCTGACACATTATTTCTGTGCCCATAAGGGCAGGACTTAATATTCCTCATTGCCAAACTAATAGTCATCACTTGTGAAACACCTGGGAGGTGTCAGGCACTGTACCCGAGCCCTCGGCAGTGAGAGGGCAGAGTCCTAACCACTGGACTGCCAGGGAATTCCCTGGGCTCTGTTCTAAGAGCTCTCTCTGTGCCAGTGGTCACACAGCTTGAAGACAAGGAGGCAGGCTTGGGTCCCAGGGGGTCGGGCGCCAGAGATCATGCTCCTACTGACTCCATATGCAGTCCTCATCGGAGTCGCCCAGCAGTAGGTGCCCAGGATTGTTCTGTGTGACTGAGGGGATGGATGAATGGATGTTGCAATCCTTTGGAGCGTAGCTCTGAGTTCCTACAGAACTTTTATCTTTATGCTCTTGGAGAGCCATGAAAAGGCCCTGTGATTAAGAGCTCGGCTCTGGAGTCAGCAGCCTGGAGCTGAGGCCTGCCTCTGACAACAACTGTGCACCTGGGACGGTTCCCTTAACCTCCCTAAATCTCAGTTTCTTTACCTGTGATCTGGGAGGGATATTGCTTACCTCTCTGAGTAGCTGGAATATTAAATGAGAGAGTATATGTAAATGCCCTAATATATTATCTGGCATATTATAGGTTCTCCGTTAAAGTTAGTTTACTTCTAAGCCTTGTCCCCTCCTGCCAGGGACACCAGACTATGCCTCTTGGCTATCGCTGTGCTCTTCCCCTAAGACATCTCAAGGAAACGCAATTTTGCGCTGCCATGCAATGACTGTGCACAGACCACGAACCTTCTGTGAAATAAGGGGTAATACCAGGTCGATACCAGGTAGATTCAGCACCAGTTCCTGTCCATTTCACCTTTTGAACATCTCTCAAATCTCTTCAGTTTCCCCTCCACAACCACAATCCCGATCCAGACACCTATCGATTCTGGCATCAACTCAGCATAGTTCCTGCCTCCGGGCTTGTGGGATGTTCTCACCATGGATACCAATCTCATGAACCTACAGTTGTGATTGCCACATAGAAAGCACCCAAGAAACCTTGTAATGAACACCTGCCCACCAGATAAACTTCAGGTTAAAACCCAATCCCTGGGACTTCCCTGGTGGCTCAGTGGTTAAGAATCTGCCTGCCACTGCAGGGGACACGGGTTCGAGCCCTGGTCCGGGAAGATCCCACATGCCACAGAGCAACTAAGCCCGTGCGCCATAACTACTGAGCCCGCACGCCTAGAGTCCGTGCTCCGCAACAAGAGAAGCCACCGCAATGAAAAGCCCACGCACCGCAACGATGAATAGCCACTGCTCACTGCAACTAGAGAAAGCCCGCGTGCAGCAATGAAGACCCAACACAGCCAAAGATAGATAGATAAATAAATAAATAAATAAATAAATTTATTGAAAAAAAAAATCTCCTTAGCTGATGTACATCGTCAGTTACTTCTCACATCAGGCTCTCATCCTTAGGTCTCTCTCTAGCTGGTGTCGAGGAAACTTTCCCCACTCTCAACCCAACCAGCTCCTACCTGTTCTCAGATGTCAGCTTAGCAGCACTTCCTCCAGGAAGCCTTGCCCACTCGTACCTCTGGACCAGGAGTCCCACCCCACCTCTACTGCCCCTAGCCTGGCAGGTCTCACACTCCCCTGACAGTTCCTGCTGACTAGACAGGAAGTGTTCTGGGCTCGTGCCTCTCCCCATCACTTCCTGACATCTAGTGTAGTACCTGGCACAATATTTGCTGTTCACATACTTGCTGAATGAATAAACAAACAAAACAATGACGTCTGGAGATCCCTTAGTGTTCTTAAATTCTAGGAACTAACAAGACAGCTGGAGTTCACTGGGTGCCTCAACCAGCTAACACAGCTTTCTTTTGTAACCTAAGAATAAAAATCATCTCTGAAAAGGGAGGCCTATGTTCTAAAAATAGCCCCATCGCACTGCAAAGTGCCTAAGTAGGTATTAAATTGTATTTATTCTAGATGTAGGGAATGGAGGTCATTTTCCAGCTGACAAAATCCCAAATGAAGTCCATGTCCCCTTTTGTTAATATTTTACTGATTGTTGCCATATTCTGATATGTTAACAATGGGGAAATTGGTTTTCTTCCCTTAAAGTATGCAGAATAAATATATTTGCCAAAATATTCTTAAAGCAAATTGCCATGGTCCATTTTTCTGCCAAATCCATCATGTTTTTGCTTTGCACTTGATCCCACTGAGATTTTAATGATATGAGTCAATGTTGTCAAAGAAAATACAGTAAAATCCTACCATAATGCTACACATGTGATCCAAAAATTCATTTGCATAGAATGCCAGGCAAGATATTGAAAGATTAGTGAAATGACCTGGTGAGCCTGCCATAAAGAACAAGAACAAATCATCAATCAAATCTCATCTCATGTCACATGGTTATATGACACACTGTTAGAGGTTTCACTGGAGTTTCCATTCTTTTTTTTTTTGCGGTACGCAGGCCTCTCACTGTTGTGGCCTCTCCCGTCACGGAGCACAGGCTCCAGACACGCAGGCTCAGCGGCCATGGCTCACGGGCCCAGCCGCTCCGCGGCATATGGGATCTTCCCAGACTGGGGCACGAACCCATGTCCCCTGCATCGGCAGGCGGACTCTCAACCACCGCGCCACCAGGGAAGCCCTGGAGTTTCCATTCTTATCCTAAGTTACCACCCTTCCTCCAACTGTTTGCTCTCAATATGCTCTTTTTAATCATTCAGTTAACTCAACAGGTATTTATTGAGCCTCTACTCTATATAAGGCATGCATGATATCAGCGTCTGCATACCAGTCTCAATATTTTTAAAAATTCTTCCCAGAAAACATTTAGTAAGAAGATATAGAACATCGCCGCACAGCGTAACTTAGGTTCGAGAACCCAACAACCTACCCAAACCACCTCTCATTAGCTCCATGACCAAGAAAAGGGGTCTCAGCTTTCATCAGAGACTCAAAGGCTTGCGTGGCCCTGAAGATGGTAACCAGCACCAATCTGGAGGCCGATCAGCAGAGTGATTAAGATCATGAGATTGGTAGTCAGATGGACCCGGGTTTGACTACTGACTCTGGTGACCTCTGGCGAGTTACTTAACTTCTCTGAGCCTTAGTTTCCCCAGCTGCAGAATGGGACTACAGATAATACCCACCTCACAGAGTCCTTGTGAGAATGAAATGGACTACTGCATGGAAAGCACTGGGCATGGGGCCTGGCTAACATGAACCCTCAAAAAATGGCAGTTGTTATTATTATCATTATTCTGTTTCAAAGGTAAGATCACCTAAAGCATAAAGAAGCCCAGATGACTTATGGTCTCAAATCCACTGAATACAGGGTCAGATTTTTCCCCTTCTACTTTTCATTGTGGCTCAATTCAATTATTCCTCTCCTTTTCTTTTATAGTTAATACAGACGTTCAAGCATGGCCTGGCTTTTAGCCCTCCCTGCTCTTTCATCAAGGTCCTACTGTTTCCCTGTTCCATATAACACAACAAAGAGTCTCTTGGTCAGAATGGGCTCCTTGATGTTCTTTGACCCTCTGTTTTAGAATAAAAGTTGTCTGGGCATTTACTGCATGAGGGACGGGGCAAACAAATGCAATTTCAAACAGAGCTTAGGGACTTGCCTGGTGGCGCAGTGGTTACGAATCCGCCTGCCAATGCAGGGGACATGGGTTCGAGCCCTGGTCTGGGAAGATCCCACATGCCGTGGAGCACGTAAGCCCATGCACCACAACTACTGAGGCTGTGCTCTAGAGGCTGCAAGCCACAGCTACTGAAGCCCGAGTTCTCAACTACTAAGGCCCACGTGCCTAGAGCCCATGCTCCACAACAAGAGAAGCCACTGCAATGAGAAGCCCATGCACCACAATGAAGAGTGGCCCCCGCTCGCCACAACTAAAAAAAGAAAGCCCGCGTGCAACAATGAAGACTCAACGCAGGCAAAAATCAATCAATTAATTAATTAATTATAAATAAATAAAATAAAATAGAGCTTAAAGGACAGGCAAGTGGAGTATAACCTTTCACAGCAACTTTCTGCTGCACACCTCTGTCTTGGTTTATGGCATTATAGCTAAAAAACACAGTTCTCTCCAAATTGAATTTAAAGGTAATTGTCATAGCAGGCTTGTTGTTGTTTTTTCATTCAGGCCTGCAATGTGACCTGCATTTCTGGTCTTCTTCTGAAAATGCATGCTCCAAGTTACAATATGGTATGGAAAACAATAGAATTAATGAATTTTAAAGTGGGACGGCAATGCTTTGGATCACAGAGTTTAGTTGTCTGACTGCTGCTATGCTAGGCTCTGAATAGTGCTTTGTAGAAAGTGAGAGAAGGCAGAGGCAGAATATTTCTTATCAGTTGGCACTTTCATTCCAAATTCCAGTATTCTTTCCACAAACATTTACCTAATATTTACTGAGCAGCTATTATATTCCAGGCTCTATTTTTTTTGGCATTGGAACTACTATGTTACACCCAACGTAAACATGCCCCCTGACCTAATAGAGACCAAATCCTAGTGGGTAAGAGCAAACATCAACCAAAGAATCACACAAATAAATGTAAGATTACATGTGCAGGGGGAGGGGGAGGTGCCTTGAGGGGTCCATCCGTGTGGATTTTTATCCTCACGGGATTTTATCCTCATGGAAACCAGGGGAGGCCTCTCTGTGGAAGTGATGCCTCCACCGAGATCCGTGGGCAAGGAGGTAGGGAGTCTGGAGAATATTCTAGGCACAGGGAAGTTGCCTCTGGCAGGACAGAGCAAAGAACATCTGAGGGGTAGCCAGATGGGCAGTGTGTCTAGGGCAGAGAGAATGAGCAGAGATGTGTAAGAGATGAGGCTGAAGAAGCCAGGCCACACAGTGCTTTCTAGAACAAGTGAAGAGTTTTGGTTTTATCCCAAGTGATAAGAGCCTACTGAAAGTTGTTTTCTTTTGGCAGCGGGGCGGGGTGGGGGGGGGTGAGTAAGGGATGGCATGATCAGATTTGCATTTCAACTATATTTTATCAAGTGTGAGATCAGGTCGGAAAGAGACAGGAATGGTTCTGAGGAGAACTGGAGTCTGGTCATGGCTTTCTCATTCCCTTGACATCACTCAAGTGCGAGGAAGTCCCTGGCCCATTTTGTCACGCTAACCCATGGGAGGTTCAGCTTCAAGTCCCAAGAGATGGAATCTAAAGAGAGAAAATTCATTTCTGCTGCTTTCCAAGCTTTTACTCTCTTAGCTTAAATTCACCAAAATTGCTTTTCTCCCCCTCAACCCCATACTGTGAACTAACGAATGTCATCACCTTCCCGCTTGTCTGAGCATGCCTGAGCAAGGTGGGGTGTGCACACCTCTGAAACGTGTGGGGAGAAAAAACATTCGTACTATCTATATTTATTTTTTATCTAAAGAAAACAAAACAAGAATTAAGCTTTAATAATATCTTCATAAGAAACGGTTATATTGATTTTTAATAAACGAGGTGACACCAGCACCCTCACTAAGTTGGGCAGTCAGTTAACATAGGTGGTACCCAAGGGACCCTGTTGTATACATGATGTAAAGTGACCTCACTTTACATAAGGTGACAATGACGACCCTGCTCATTCGTTCACTTTCAGCATATTACAACATGTGGCTCACTAGTGTCTGGTCTAGTGGATTTACAGATGATATTGCTTAGTTTTAACTAAACTAATCTCCACAAACTCTAAAGACAAGTAGATTTATTAGATTTCTTCAAGGAAACTGTGGGCTGAGGATTACCAACAGTAATAGGAGCACAAGCAAACCCATAAGAAAAGGACAGAGCTGATTTTTTCCATCTCTAGAACAAGCTGTTCTAAGCCTCAATGCAAAGGGAAAACAATAAGTTCCTAATCAGATCTTAAATCATTCAAAATAATTCAAATTATGAGTATTTGAAATATGGGCTTATAACTATTATTGCTAACAATAAAACATGATAAACCACTAGAATATAATAAAATTCCTCAACATCTTTAACGTTTAGACATAAGTATTCACATTCAAAAGTTCTTACTTAAATAGTGCACAGTGAAAACAATTTGGAGACCACGGCTATAGGGCCAGCTCTGCACAGGGCAGTGAACCGTTCTGACATACCTGTGGGTACTGGTTATGGGGGAAGGTGCCTCCCGTCTCTGCCAAAGGCCCATCGTTCTGGTCTCCATAGATTTCTTCTTTGCTCATCAGAGACTCTTCCTCAGCCTCCTCTTCCTTCTGGAGCATTTTCCTCATGAAATCTCTCTTGTCCATTGGAGTTCGAATGATTTTCAGGTTATTCGTGTAGATGATTATCTTTCCAAAATCTATAATAGGTGGGGACTAGAGAAATGAAGAATGAGCATGGTGATTCACCAGGAGTCACCAAATACAGGGCTGCAGAACCTCTTCAACATCCCAGGAAAGAGAGATATGGTCTGGCACTAGGGATCCCATCACAGCCCAAAGCTACAGTTCGTTCTCTGGTTTCTTTGCTCAGTCTGAAAACCCTGAACACCAGCTTCTTTCTTCCTGTTGATGGTAACCAGCCAAAGCTGAATTAATCATGTAACTAGAATGTAGGACTCTGCAGGACAGGGTCCAGAGCTTCTATTCCTACTACACACCATGCGATCTGGTGCAGGGCTGGGCACAGTGAGTGCTTAATGCCTACAAAGGAAAGCTTTTAAAAAGTAAATCTCTCAGCAACCATTACTAGTTATGCTTTTTTAAAAAAAAATTACCAGTTTACATAATTAATCAGGGTGCCTTTTAAGTTCTAACTTTTTTTTGTTTATTGTATAATGCATCATTTGAAAATACCAAGGAAATATCTTTTTGTTTTTAATGATGCATGAATGCAAGTAATTCTAGTTGGCAGTATTTGATTGTAAGAAATCAATAAAGTAACTGTATTTTTAAAAAAATAAATAAATCTCTCTCCAACATTTTTATGCATAAATAATAACAGTAGACACAATTTATTGAATTACTACTATTATTATTATTATAGTGGATAGCATTTATTTTGGGTCAGGCTTCATACTAAGCATTTTACAAACATTACCTCACTTCCCTCCCAAACATCCCTATGAGGTAGATGCTATGATTTCTACATTTTACAGAGAAGGAGACTGAGGTTCAGTGTGGTTAAGAGTCTTCCACGTTTACAGAGTTACTCAGGGTTTGTGGCCAGGATTCAAACCCAGGTCTGTCTCACCCTAAGGACCATATTCTTAACACCTATACTGTAGTATTCACAAACATTCCCCACAACCACCAGATAAGATATATGTGTGTGTGTGTGTGTGTGTGTGTATGTTCATTATTCATATAATAAGAAAATTTTTTATGTCAATAAATGTACTTCTATAGCATCATTATTAATAGCCTATGTTCCCTTGTAAGGATTTATCATGTGTTACTTCATCATTTGCTGAGAAACAACTTGGGCAATACTACAATGCAGTAGAGAAGCCTGGGGAGGAAATGTCTCGCAGAGCTAGGATAGCTTGGGGGGAAACAACACTAGATCCCAGTTCCACTGTCCACCAGTTGTGAGATGGGGAGAGCCATTTGGCCTCTCAGAACCTATTTGCTCACGCAAATGGGTTGACATCCAACTGATGGGCACCACCAGGGACAAATTACTTATTAAAATATATGAATATTTCCATACTGGGTGGTAATCAGGTGCTGTCCTGATACTCCTGAGAGCCTTCCTGTTTCCCCAGCCTCTCTCCTCAGGGAGCCTCTCACATCCCCAAACCCAGCAGTGTAGACATTAATGCTTAAGACCCCAGTCTCAGGACCCTGCCCCAGCACTCTGCTGGCTTCTGTGCTGACTGAGCAGTGTTCCTGTGCTTAAATATTTTGACTCTCATCCCTGAGGCTAATTATATCAAGGTCTAGGGGCGAGGGTGCAATGAAGAATATGTAAGAGTTTGCAAAAGCTGAAGATACTATGCAAGTGATGGGCATTGTTACTGCCACTAGTATTAAAAACTTCTTTAGTAGTGCACGTACAATCATGCTACACAACTACATTCCCCAGCGTGAAATATCTGGCCCTGCTTTTACAGAACTGTATAAACCAAATTTATTTAGATGCCACAGTTAAGCAGTCTCCTATTTAAAGCCATCAGGCATTCAGTCACAGCCTGGCTTGAGCAGGACTTCAATCTTCGGGTCCCCTTCCTTGAAACACCCATGGAGTTTTCAATAATTATTTACGGAGCCACAGGCTTCCTGCCTGGCCCTGTATTCTCTCCCTCTCTTCAGGAGATCATGTGGCAGCTTCCATTTCCTACTGTTTGATGCATGCTGGGTTCCTGTTTCACACTCTGGACTATCAGTTTCTGAGCATCAGAAGATAAAGATGGTGGCACTTTTGGAAGGTTCCATATCTCTTTCCAGTAATAGCCAAAGAGGTTCAGTTACTAGGAAGCTTTTTTCACACATAGGGCTGGTTTTTTCAAGGCAAAATTCTCAATATACAAAAAAAAAAAAAAATTGCAGTCATCTGGTCCAACATCCTGCCTCTCTAAGCTGGTCAGCATCTGAGATACCCAGGACAGTAAATTTATTTTTAAGATACTCCAAAGATGGAGGGTCCCAAATCATCTTTAAGGTGTGTTTAAGTTTCAGTCACCCTGACAGCCAAGTTCTTCCTTGTGTCTAAGGAAACTCTCTGGGTGTAACTAAAGTTCACATTATCCAGTTACACCCAATTGCCCGTGAGGAATACCCACTCTTACATTATAGAGGACCAGGACGGAGCCAGGAATTTTTTGTGTCCTTCCAACGCCCGGAATGGCAACTTGTGTGATTAAACATTCACAAATACTCTGATGTCAAAAGCAACAGGACTGGGAATTGCCATTCAGGGACCATGAAACCTTTCCACTGCTCTGTGTTTAAATGCAGACATGCCTAGTGGGTACCAGAAACTCAATGGGCTTTGGAGGTAGGCAGACCTGAGTTCAAATTTTAAATCTCTCAAACTGTGTGAGATTTGCAAGTTTTTTTAAGCCCTATAAACTTGTTTTTCCAATTTGTAAAACTCTCACAGAGTTACTGTGAAGATAAAATTGCATAATTTCCACAAAGTACCTGTTCAATAAATGTTACATCCCTTCTTCCTTTCCCTTTCATTTTTTTAAATGAAACTTATAAATTTTAGTCAGTTTCAATTCCTTAAAATATCTGATTGTTTATAACCACTTTCTCTATCCATCACATGAAATTTTAAAAGACTCCATATTTCCTAGGTAAGAGCCTGGTCATTATCACAATGGTAGGTAGCATATACAATGTGCCAGGCACAATGCTAAGTACTTTTAGTGTCATATGTTTTTAATCACCATGATAATCTTTGAAAGTAGGTACTTTTATTATCACAAGGTTAAGTGGCTTGCTCAAGCTCACAGAGTAAGTGGGTAGAACGGACATCAAGTCCAGGTTTAATTGACACCAGAGCCTTGCTTTTTATGATTATTATTTTATTGTGGTAAAATATACATAACATAAAAGTTACCACTTTAACCTTCTTAAGGTTCAGTTCAGGGACCTCAGTACATTCACATTATCGTGCAACCCTCTCCACCACGTGTCTCCAGAACGTTTTCTTATTCCCACACTGAAACTCTTCAGTTAAACTCCACCTTCTCCTCTTCCCAACCCCTGGCGAACACCATTCTGCTTTCTGTCTCTGTAAATTAGACTATGCTAGTACCTCATGAAAGTGGAATCATACAACTCTCTTTTTGTGACCGGCTTATTGCACTTAGCTCAAGGTCTTCAAGGTTCAGGCATGTTATAATATGTATCAGAATTTCCTTCCTTTTAAGGCTGAATAATATTCTACGGTATGTATATACCACGTTTTGTTTGTTCAGTCACCTATTGACGAATATTTGGGTTGTTTCCACCTATGGGCAATTATGCTGCTATGAACACTGGTGTACAGATATCTGTTCAAGTTCAGAGCCATTACTTTTAATTATTGTGTTTCACTGCTACCCAGTGTTGCTGCAAAGCCGATATTTACTAAGGGTTACTAAGTTGGATTCACTATTGAAAAATCATGACTTCCCAGCTCTCATTTCCTTATTTTTCCTAAGTACCGCACTGACAACCTGTTTCAGTGGGTGGAGCTGCACGAATCCATCCTGATCACTCTCACACCAGAGGCGGCCTCGCAGTGGGATGTGGCATTTGTTCAGGCAACAAAGAAAACAAGGATAACCGGATGAAGCAGAAATCAAACCCTGAACCTTGTCTCTAGAGTACTATGTTTAAAACCACTGTGCCGTGCTGCGAGGAAGACTCCGGTAGCTGGTTTTATCAAGTCCATGCCTAATCATACTTTTACATAAATGCCAAGTATGACACATGACTGATGAAGGTCAAGAAGTCCAACATTATAAACCATGGCCTTGTACAAAGTTCGTATAAACTATGACTTTATAAATTCTAAAGCTACAAATGAGATTTAGTTAAAAAGAAATCCTGTAAGTACAGGATATAACAAAGTACCTAGGACGTAATAAGCACTTGATAAATGGTAACTATTATTATCATCATCACTATTATTAATGGCCTTATTCTCTTAAAAGGAACATTCCATAGGGCCAAGGGCATGAGGAATCAGAAGACTTGGGTTCTTATTCTGACTCTACACCTAATGACCCTATAATATTGGGTGGGTCCCTTACAACTTGGAACTCAATTTTCCTCACTTGCACAATGGAAAATACCATACTTTGCCTTTCTCCTCAAGGTTGTGAAGAAGACTCAATGAGATAGAATGTGATAGTGCTTTGTAATGCGTAAGTCACTCCACTAACATGAGGGATTGTTCATTCCAGCCCCCTTTAATATCAAAAAGAAACCTGGTATTATCTTTGATAAATGTGGACATGCCCATAATTACACTTTTACCAATGCCAGCAAGGCCAATATATTTGTCTGCTATAGATGTATAATCTGTTCCCTTAGGAAACGAACAATAAAAATGATTAGAGAGTAATTATCTGAATTTCACACTTTAAATATGAAAACATATCCTGGTGTGCTATTCATTAATAACCTGGTACATTATATCATTGTATTCACTCTTTTTTTTTTTTTTTTTTTTTAAGGCATTCATGGCCCTACTGGCAGAGAGCATATACACATCTCTGTTTTTGGAAATCCGCAAATATTTTCCAGGTTCTTCTAGCTTCAAAGAAGATCATGTATGGGCTTTTGATTATCCATGGTACTGGAGAAGATAACTGAAATTCACAGATAAAATACATGTTTCAAGTGAAATATTAGCTCAAATGTCTTCCCATGTAACA